TGGTGAGAGGAAAAACAGATTTTCCCTGCAGAGGAATGAACTGGAGTAAGTGTAGGAACAAAATGGTTATCAATCCTTGGCTGATATTTAAACAACATGCATATACCAGAAGAGATTGCACCAAATACTTTTACATAATCTCTAGGTGTTATAGGAATCTTATATCGCCGTAGAAATTCCTCATAAGTAAAAAACAGGCCATCGTCATTAAACAGTTGATCGACTAGAAGGATATTATTTTGAAACCAGTATTCAATAAAAATTGACCTGTGTTTGTACAAAATGTCCCCATTGTTCCATATGTAATGTGTGTGGAGAAAAGTTATGCTTGTAGATGAGCGACCATGATAAAAAGGCCTGACAGTGAAAAGAATAGAGTTTCACTGGGATCTTATCAATATTATAACTGCATACAAGAAAGAAATTTAAGCCACCAAACATAGACAAAATATGATTAGGAATTATACCAAACAGATGTTGAGTTTTGAGATAACTGTCTTATCCAATTGACCTTAAAAGTATTCTTTAGAGTGGAGAAGTCTAAAAAGTTTAATCCACCACTTTCATATGTGTTCATAATAACACCTTTTTAAATATGATGTATTCTATTTTTCCACAAAAAATTACCAAGCATCTGATCAATTTCTTTACAAGTTTTTTTGTCAAGATCTAGAGCTGACGCAGCATAAGTTAAACGAGAGATTCCTTCTGCCTTTGTGATTAAAGTTCTACCTCTCAGGGAGAGATCTCTCAGTAGCCATTGATTAAATTTCTTTTTAGTTTTTTCAATTATGGGGGAGAAGTTTGAATAGCATCTTGAATGTTGTTTTTTTGTAATTAGAATGCCCAAATAGGAGATTTCATCTTTAACCAGAATACTATAAAGAATGGAGGTACTGATTTAAAGAGAAGATGTGATCCAAGGGATTTCTTGGATGAAGAGGGAGTTAGGGTGAAGCTGATGCGCCCCCTGATGAAGCTGGTTATGACCCAGCTGTGTTCTCATCTATTTGACCCTCATGAGGAGGAAGTGCAAGTCAGAGGTGCTGAGGTCAGTCATGCTTAGAGCAGTCAAGAGAGAGACATTGCAGCCGGTCAGGATGGAAGAAAACAGACGGTGTCGAGGAGGTGACAGAGTGAAACTGCAAGGAACTGAACTGATCAAAGGACAATGGACTCTGACATTATATTTTTATACATTCATACTACACACAATTCATGCATAGCAGTTATTTAGTATCTTGTCATTCATACATTCATTACTTAATTGTCATTGAGTATTTTCATCATGAGCAGAAGATGTTTGGTCTGAGCTTGTATTGTCATTTGTAATGGAGTTAGATTAATGTATGTTTAATAGGCAATACTTAACATCTATACAAGTAGTTTAATCACAGTACAAATGTTTGTGTTACAGTTATGTTATGAGTTCAGTTTCAAGATTTTCACTGAGTTTGTTTTCTACAATCTGGTTCACTGCAGGCCTTATTGGTGATTCGCCCAAAAGGGCCTGGAGATGGTTTTCCCCACCATTCATCACCATTGGGGTTTTTTATATCTCTGGGGACCCAAAAGAAAAAATGGGGGTCATTCAGGAATTTCCCCAAATAAAGAACAAAACAAAGAATAAATAAAAAGAATAAACAATAATCAATATATAATATAATCATAATAATAATATTAATAATAATAATAATAACCTTTATTTATATAGCCCTTTACAACTCCTAGGAGCACAAAGTGCTGTACAATGAAGCTAAAATAGCCAAAAGAAAAAAAGCCATACAAAAGCAGTAGAACCTAGCAGAATAAAACGCTAAAACATTCTTATACAAACTATACAAAGCATAACAAAAAGAACATCTCTATGGACAACTAAAAACAATTTAAATATCAAATGCCTGTTTAAAAAGGTGAGTTTTGGTATTCTGATTTATGTCTGTTTTTCATAAAACCTGATTGTAACTCTTTAATAATTGAATTCAATACAGATTTTAGTCTTTTAGCGATAAGTAACGCCAGTATTTTATAGTCATTGTTTAATAGACATATTGGACGCCAGTTATCAATAAATAAAATATCCTTTTTTGGTTTTGGAATTAGGGTAGTTAATCCTTGGGTTAGTGTGGGAGGCATACATTCATTGGCAATACTTTCCTGAAAAACCTTAAAAGGAAATGGAGATAATTCTGAGAAGGCTTTGTAAAGTTCTGCTGATAACCCATCCGTACCAGGAGACTTGTTATTCTTCAACAGATTGATCACCTCTGCAACTTCATTGACTGTAATTGGCGTATCACAGAAAATCCTTTCATTATCACTTATTGTTTTTACATTCAGAGAGCGCAAGAAGCACTCAGCTGAAGATTGGCTGAATTGGGAGTTATACAGCGTTTCATAAAATGTACAACAATAGTTAGCAATGTCTTTGTAGTTTGTTATAATAGTGCCATTAATGTTTAATTTGTTAATATTTTTGGAAATTGCATTATGTTTTTCTAAGTTAAAAAAATTAATGGGAGTTTTGTTGTCCTTTTTCTAGCCATTTTTTCCTTGATCTAATAAATTCTTTGTAGTTTGTTATAATAGTGCCATTAATGTTTAATTTGTTAATATTTTTGGAAATTGCATTATGTTTTTCTAAGTTAAAAAAATGAATGGGAGTTTTGTTGTCCTTCTTCTAGCCATTTTTCCTTGATCTAATAAATGCCCCTTTAACTTTCTGTTCATATAGCTCATCTAACTTGATTTGTAAGTCTGCTAGTTCACCTTTCTCTTTTTCTGACATATTATTTGGGCACTTATTGGATAGATGGGATATCCTTGAAACAATATTGGTTTCTTGTGCTTTATCAGCTTTAGCCTTAAGACCACCAAATCACCTTAAAAATTTTCCCACTTCAAATTTCAGAGATTCCCAATTGAGGCCATATTTTTCCTCATTTTCAGCTTTTTTCCAGAAATTTTGGTTTAGTGTTTAAATAGTCTGTTTTACTTCAGCATTTTGTAATAAGGAATTATTCATCTTCCAATATAGTGATCGAGGAACATGTTCACTTGTTAATTTAATATTGATATATATAGCTTTGTGGTCAGTAAGCGGAGTGGCTAAGATATCAACATCTATATTGCCTTTATTTAGTCCATCAAAAACTAACCAAATGTCTATCCTAGACTGACTGGAACCTGTCTTGTTACTCCATGTAAAGACTTTATTCATGGGAAATTTTTCTCTCCATATATCTATGAGATTGAACTTAGACATAAAATGTATTAAAGTAGAGTTATTAGAATTTGTACTCCCAGAGGGCCATTTATCATTTCTGCCATCCAGGACCACATTAGAATCCCCTCCTACTAATAAAGTGGCAGTTGGACATTTATTTAACCAGGCTAAGAGCTTGCTTTCAAGTGAATGCAATAGACAGTCATTTTCTGTTTTGTTATTGTATCCGTAAATATTTGTGCACATGAAGAATGAATCATTTTGAATGATTACTTGACAAATGTAATGTCCATCAGGATCACCTTCTGTATGCAGAATACTGCCAGTGAATCTGTTTTGTGAAGTGATCACACCTGCTGAATGTTCAGAGCCATAAAGAATTACCCCATTGAGACCTCCAAAAAGTAACATCAGTAAGAACAGAATGAGACTCCTGGAAAAAACAAAAGTCAGTTCTACATTGTTTTGCAAAGAGAAATAAGGCCTTTCTTTTCACAGTATTACGCAACCCCCTAGCATTAAGTGAAAAAAGAGATAACATGACAGAATTGAGAGGAACATCGTAGTCAGATCGTCGCCCTACCATTTCGCACGTCAAGGTGACGTCGGACGTAAAGACGAAGTGACGTAGCTTCCGTTCCCTACATTTCCGCTTTGCACATGTGTTTACTTAAAATGTGGATAACCTAGCTGAAGAAATTAATATTATCAGCTTTTACAGGCTAGCTGTTTGTGCGCCAGTTGAAACATGGGGAAGCTGAATGTCGTGGTGCTGAGATACTTATCTCGCGATGACTTTCGAGTCCTCACAGCGGTAAGAAGCCCGTCGTAAATTCTGCCTCCCTAAAAGAATAGTGGATAATCTGAGACCTATCACATTACTGAACAAAGACTATAAAATAGTATTAGGTGTATTAGCTGAAAGACTTAAGAAAGGTATTATACAAATAGTTAGTGAAACCCAGTCAGGTTTTATTAAAAGTAGATCTATTCATAATAACATCCGTCTGGTTCTGGATCTGATAGATTATAATGAACATATTGAGGATGATAGTTTCATGTTTTGTTTTTTTTTGTTTGTTTTTTTTGGACGTTTACAAAACCTTTGATTCTATTGAGCATTCTTTTATTTTACAAGCGTTACAACACTTTGGTTTTGGTGACAGATTTGTGGGATTAATTAATATGTTGTATAAAGATATTAATAGCTGTGTGTCGTTACCCCAGGGCACATTGAAATTCAACGAGGCATTAGACAAGGATGCAGCTGTTCTCCATTGTTATTTGTCATAGCATCAGAACTCTTAGCAATTTTGATCAAAAATGAAAATTTACAGGGCATCAATGTTTTTTGACACAGAATTTCGGATTAGCCAACTGGCAGATGACACCACCTTGTTTCTTAAAAATAAATCACAAATTCCTTTGGCTCTTAACTTGATTGCTTTGTTCTCCAAAGCTTCAGGGTTAACTTTAAATGTTAACAAATGTGAATTAGTGGCCATACATGGTCATTCCTCAGCGTCATTATATGGTATCCCAGTTACAAAATGACTATCTAGGACTCAATATTGGTAAAAGCGAGGATTCTAGGGAAAGGTGCAATTTTGGAAAAAGTATTGACAAAGGTAAATCAATACTGAGCAGCTGGCTGCAGAGGGATCTGTCCGTGTTTTTGGAGAATATTATTTACAAAGACAGAAAGTCTATCCAGGCTTGCTTATCCAGCATACTCATTAGCTATTTTATCTAGAATGATAAAAATGATAAACCAAGTTAACCTAAACTTTATTTGGAAAAAGAAATGCCATTACATTAGGAAAAATGACATGTTGAAAAGCTATGAAGGTGGGGGATTGAAAGTTATTGACTTTGATATCATGAATGGGATGATTAAAATAAAATGGCTGCAAGGCTTTATGAAGCAAGGAGATGCGATCTGGCATGCGATTCTAAATGCGATTTTTAGAAAAGTTGGGGGAATTAAATTTCTTTTAAGTTATGATTTTGAACTCAGTAAGTTGCCCTTGTGTCTATCTGCCTTCCATCAACAAGTTCTTCAATACTGGAAACTGGTGTTCAAGCATAACTTTGCTCCACACAACATGCCTATCTGGAACAATCGCTGTATTTTATTTAAGAAAAAAATCACTATTTATGGAAGAGTGGCTGAAGAAGGGGATTTGGTCTATTGCTCATCTAATGGATGGTAGAGGCAATTTATTGACCTACTCTGAAGTATCTATGAAATTTAACTTGTCTTTATCAAGAAACACATACGAGAGGATTATTCATGCTGTTCCCTTCCAGCTTAAACAGTTGGTGTCACAAGAATTTCAGAGCATGATTTCCTCTAGTGGTTCTCATTTCATGCCCATGCAGCTTTCCGCTTTGTGGCAGAATGTCAACGCAAGCAGGCATGGATTTCAGCACTCTAATGATCATATTCTGTCTCTTCCTGTGAATGTCCCCTCACGCAGGTTGAGATGGGAATGAAGAACCATGAGATTGTTCCAGTGAGCCTGCTGTCCTCCATTGCTAGCCTGAAACATGGCGGCTGCAACAAGATCCTCAGAGAGCTTGTCAAACACAAACTTGTAGTTTATGAACGCACCAAGAGTAAGAAAACACAGGAATGGCACCTTTGACTCTCAAGTCCTGATGGGGATGATACATATATTTTAGACTTTAATGTGGTATTTGTATTTTGACTTCAGCTGTGCAGGGCTACAGGTTGAACTATGGAGGATACGACTACCTGGCGCTAAAGACCTTGTGTTCCAGAGAAGTGATCATTTCAGTTGGCAACCAGATGGGAGTAGGTAAAGAGTCAGGTAAGAAAAAGGGAATTGCATGCTGCTACCAAGTTGTCATATCATTGACATGTTTTCATTGACAGATTAATAATAATAGTGAATTATTCTCAGTCCTTCTTTTTGTAATGGTTTTCTTGCCCACAGCCATAATAGTATAGAAGGCCACTTAACCTAAGTCCTCCAAAAAGAAATGAAACTGAACCTGGGAGAAGTTTTAATAATTCTCAAGATGTTTATGTAAAAGAGAATATGCTTTCTATCAAATTTCCAGGCTTCATTGCCAACTCCTCATGTGCTCTTTGTGTTTACCTCCTGTAGATATATATATTGTGGCAAGTCCCAGTGGGGAGCAGTATGTTCTGAAGCTTCATAGATTGGGTCGTACCTCCTTTAGGAACCTAAAGAACAAGAGAGATTATCACAAACACAGGAAAAACATGTCCTGGCTCTACCTCTCGCGACTGTCTGCCACGAAAGAGTTTGCTTACATGAAGGTAATGGACCAAATCGAAAACAGTCACTGTTTACAAAGACAGTCATATGACATAGAGGGATCATTTGTACAGTCCGCATTAGAAATCCAATTTGGTGTGTTGCATCTTTTGAGTCATGTCCTTACTCCTCCTAGGCATTGTATGACCGAGGCTTTCCTGTTCCCAAACCTGTGGATTATAACAGACATGCTGTAGTGATGGAGCTCATCAATGGATATCCACTGTATGTAAACAAGCCACCCTTCTTTCTTAGTACACATTTGTACTCTCTGTTCCTCTGTGTAATTTGTGTGTATTGTCTTTCTTTCAGGTGTCAGGTGCGTGAGCTGCAGGATCCACCAGCCCTGTACAATGAGTTAATGGAGCTCATAGTCAAACTAGCCGATCACGGCCTGATTCACGGGGACTTTAACGAGTTCAACCTCATGTTGGATGACCAGGACCGTGCAACTATGATCGACTTCCCTCAAATGGTGTCCACCTCACACCCTAATGCTGAATGGTTGGTGTCTGTGCCATAAAGCTGAAAATAAAAGAACAGTTAATAAAACAAAAGATGTCCATGTTGTTCATTTCTCCAATTTTTCTTTTTGTAGGTATTTTGACCGAGACGTCAAATGTATCCGAGATTTCTTCACCAAACGATTCAGTTATGAGAGCGAGCTCTTTCCAACCTTCAGAGACATCAGGTAAACAGCTGCTCCTGTTTTCAATAAAACACAATCATACACAATACAATAATTGGATATGCACAATAGACTTTAAGTTTTAACATGGAAATATTTTTCCTGTTTGCTTTATTTTATAAAATTAAGCAGCTTAATTTCTTTTCCTGCAACAGTTGGCGTTATTTGTTATTTGGTTTAATTGGATAAAATTAAATGCCATTTTGGGGCATACTGTCACTGAAATACTGATTTCTACAGAGCTGAATTGCAGGCATTTATATGGCAAGGTGATAGTTTATTGGACTATGTATTAAATTATACATCACTGAGGAAAAATTGCATGTAAAATTGTGAATAGGCTTTGAAGTGAAAATCAATTCTTACATGATCTTTTGTTGTTTATTCCTGCAGGCGGTCTTATTCTGTAGATGTTGAAGTCTCTGCTAGTGGCTTCACCAAAGATCTGGAGAGAGACAGCGCATTGCTGCACCCAGCTGGACCTGAGGAAGATGATGAAGAAGAGTGTAGTGATGGAGAGGCAGCAGATGAGGAAGTACAAATAGAAGATGAGAGTGTAGACATGGAGGAATATAAACATGCAATACTGGAACTGGAGGGTCTGAGTGTCAGCGACACACATGCAGACACACAGGATGAGGGGGAGGCAATGAATGAAAATGGGGGAGAAAAGAAAGAGACTGGGGCAGCACCTACAGCTACAACTAGTGGAGACCCAGAGACGGGCTCAGAGGAAGAGTTTAAGCAAGCAGAGGATGAGTGTCCTGAGCTGGCGGACCTTTCCGCCTCCAACAAAGGGTTCAAACCCTTCAGGTAAACACAACACCAAGCTCCAAGAAGAAATATATTTGATAATATTATACAAAGCTGGAATATCCCTCCTGCAGCTTTGGTGCAGAGCCAAAAATGAATTTGGTCTATTAGTAGGAGAGCATGGTGACTTGAGAAACTGGTGGTTCCAGAGATATTTGAAAAAATATCTTATTTGTGTATAATTTAAGCAGGGTTGTTAAATGACACCACAACATGGAATTTCTGTGCTTTCTGCTTCTTTGTTATCGATGTATTTTCTCCTGCAGAGACTCAGACAGTCTTCTACACATGGCAGAACACGGGAGGAGGAGGACAGACAGTGAGGCCACAGCGGGAAGTGTAGGGAGCTGCTCTACCATACCACCAGTAAGAAAAATACAAACACTGCACTTAGGTGTAATATACAAGGGTCCACTACTGACTGATTTGATGACTTGACAATATCACTGTTTGAACATTTCACCAGATGGTGCAGCAGTGCTGGTCCACAGTTTTAGACAGCAACTGGAGTTTCCTGTAGGTGTTGCTGTAGCGTTGTAGCTGTATCCTGGTGTTGCAGTTTGTGGAAGAATGTGATGAGTGACTTGTAGCAGAGGCAACATGTCCACATAGTGGTGTGTCTGCCTTGCAGAGACAGACAGCGCTTATCCTGTGTAGTAACCGGCTGTCATTGTTATGTGTGCTGCAGGAGGTCGTCCGTCAGAAGGTGCGTAGGCAGCTCACCAAACAGCAGAAGGCAGCACAGAGGAGACGTCTGCAGAAGGGAGAGGCCAATCTTGTGACCAAATCCAAGAGGGAGAACCTAAATAACATTAAGTCCAGTATGGAGAGCGCCCACTTCTGGGGATAAATGGGACTGCTGTGATGGAGAAACAGAACTCATGTCAGCGTGCTTTCTGTTTGGTTAACATGCATCCTGCATTGTTCTTCTGCTACTTTGTCCAAACTCAGCTCTTTTCTATTTGAAATGCCATGGTTTACATAAAGTCTAATGTAAATATGAACTGGTTATTATCATCAAGCCTGATTGACAATTAAATTGTTTATACATCTTGCTGTGGTGTCTGTTCAAAATAATGGAACTGCCTTTAACAGGAAACAAACCTTTTGATAAATGTGATGGTTTGTCAAGTTGGGCAGATTCTTACTGAAACTTACGATATCAACCTCTGACACTGCTACAGTACAACAAACGTAGAGTAACTTGCTATTATTGTTAAGTCTAAAGTTCGTTGTCACTCTGAGTGCGCTGGTGAGAAAGTTACTAATGAAGGTGTGGATTTAAAATTAAAACTGAATGTGTGGAGATCTTTTATTTATTCAAAACTCCCTTGGTTCAAAGGTGTCCACTATTATGATAGCCTGATACATTCACTGCCTCAGCAGCTAATTCAAAAGCCAGAGACTGACAATATTCACACATGAACATTCACCATGAAAGAGTGCAGGAAAAAGACATTCGTATCCATCCACTTTCTCTTACTGACATATTTTAACACAGACTTGTTAAAGTTGATAGAGTTGGGACTTTGGGAACTAAGAAAGAACTTAGAATTTGGTGCCTTTATGTGTAAGAGGCTTTCAGAGAGCAAATTAATTCAGATTTGAACAATGGCTATTCATATTGAAGAGGGTGAATGGAGCTCAGACCATGGGCTCAGCGGACTCTAATTAGTGTGTGAAGTCAAAAGTATCCCACCCCCACACATTTTAAACACTGCACGTTGTGCAGACTTGTCCCTGCGATGTGGATATTGACATGTAAGAGAAATAATTAGTCGTGTACGTGGCTTCTCCACATTTTTCTTTTCACCTAGATGGTACATTGTGCTGTGGTTTCACTAGGCAAATGTGCAGGTCTTTAACTGTCCAGCTCTGTTCAGAGATTAGCCAGCTGCACAGGCCGAGGGGAGGGGCTCCGCAT